AGAGCTTGTGACATTCTTATGTTCATACAATCAACATATACTTCAAACATATACATCAAACTTCATTTTGCTATACGTGAGGCCATTTGCCAGTACGGCTGATGACAACATGAATATGGACTACACCTAATTAGCAATCTATGACAAACTGTCATAGGTAATTTAGCATAGCATAATACTTTATTACATTTAAGGGAATCAGGTCATTTATTAATTGAAAACAAATTCAGGAAAAGATGAACCTTTTGATCCCCAAAATGCTGGGTATACTATTCTAGTTTCACATTGAAAGCACAGAAATCAAACTATAGCATTCATTCTCCAAGATCTTTTCCCCTCCATCCCACAATGAACAATAGTAGCAATTGTAGTAGTTTCAGCTGTGAACTCAAACTAAGTTGCACTGACATGCTGGAAATTTGATGTCATCACAGGTAATCTATGAATAATTACTACTCAAGACATGTTACAATACATGAACTATAACCTTGTTATGACTTTGTCTTTCTGCACTTTCTGGGCCCATCTGTTTTTCTCTATACTTGATCAATCAAGCTGAGACAACCTATACTTTTCCTGGTGGTACAGAAAATGTTCACAAATTATAGCCATGTCAGTCCACTCCAATTTTTTTTTTTGTCTGTATAGCACAACAAATTGATTTGCTGTGGCAGTAAACAGTGAAATATTCTCTTCAGTGTCTAGTAATTAGTTCTAATACTAGCAGACAAATTAAAAGGCAGCAAAACAAAACGTCTCCATCAGGCACTTATAATAACCTTCATAATACATACAGTGGACATTGCGAAGACTAAGGTGGATAAATGAGGAGAATGCTGATTTTGGCATCCAGCTTACTTTCAGATAATCTAACTCATCCCTCTTGGCTGACACCAGACCAAGAATAATATTAGAGAGTAATAAACTCCTTCCAGCAAACCTCTGATTCCACGGTTCACTGGTCTCAGACCTAATCTATCAATCCATTTACTGAACAGTAAAAGGTAAGAAACCCATTACAGATCTGTTATATGCCCTGGCAGGTGGTATATGACAAGAACTGAATTCATCACAAACTCCAGTGCCCTTTTGTATGCTTTGAAGCACTAGGTGGTTAGCTTACTTGGCTATCACAGCAGAAGATGCTTTGAGCTTTGAAAATAAACAAAAAATTCTTGATGTGAAGGCAGAAAAAGGATTATAAACCACTTCATTTTTCATACTATTAAGACTTCACAAAGATAGTGCTATTTTCATTTTTACAAGAAATATTTTTTTTGGAGAGGGTACAGTAAGTAAAACCAGGCTAGAATTTAAAAGTCAGGCTTTCAAATGTGGGCTTTAATCTTCATTTTCTGCTTAAACTATGTCTGAGGTAGCAGCCTATTAGAATCACTATTCAATAAAGTTGTCTAAAGAGATGTCATTTTAAAATTATTACTATCCAAAGGAAGAAAAACTCTTCACGTATCTATTCTCAAGGTCATCAGCACGTGATACAAACACCTAAAAGCAAAGACAATACTGAAGCAAAAGCAAAAAAGCTTCTTTTATGTGACTGCAATTCCTTTCATACTCAATTTCTTTTCTCGGCTTATTTCCATTGCTGTAGGGCAACAGTTTCTGTGACTGTAAAGAAGGTTTGAAAATTACTTATTTCAAATATGTCACCTTGAAGGTTAAGACTTGCAGGTGTTGTCCCCCATTCCCCTGCTTGGCAGATCAAGGCAAAACAAAAATTTGTCATAACCTTATGAGATATTTGGCTACAATCTCAGCTGGTGTAAATTGTCACAGCTTCTCTGAAGTAAACAGAATTACTCTAGTGTATGCCAGATAAGGACCTACTTTATTTATGTAACTGCCATGTATGTTTCGTATTTTGAAAACAACATCATCCTGCAATATGAGATAATCAGAAATGCTAGATTGTTACATGTTCATTTCTAGCAGAGATGCCAGAAAACAAAACAAACAGCTAGAATCAAAGGATTAAAGTACAAGATACGCTCTTAGAAGAGGATGGAGACACAGAAGAGCCCCAGAGAAATCTCTGTGATGATGATGTTTGTCCATTGTACTTTGAGGAACACAAAAAAAAAAAAATATCCTCATCAAAACAACTGACTACAAAACCATCCTCAGGTGACCTACAGAAGTTCACCTGATATAAAAATGCCAGAGCTGTGAGCTTTGTCTCACAGTAAAATCTGTGGGTTTTTTTTTTCAGTGCTTACAGATCTATAACTGAAGGAAGACAATGTATGTCCCTCTGTCAGGCCTGCAGACTTTCTTTCCATGTTTTCTAATTTTATTACAGACCCTAGAGTTTCAGAGGAGAAAGTAAAAAAAATTAATTGAGGCTTCCTACATAAAATATGAGAAAGGAAAAAGTATATAAAAGAAAAAATAAATATTTTTCCCTTCAGCTTCATTGGAAAAATCCAATGACAGAAACCCAAAATGAGCTTCTAACTTCTTCCCCCTACCCCCACCCACATCTCTCAAGATCATATGGGAAATAGAAATGCTTCAAAGAAAGAGAACACCTTCAGAGAACATGTATGGATTCGAGTCTTGCAATTTACAAACTCAGTTTCTGTTAATTAAAAAAAAAATATACTGCATTTTTCAGATTCTTTAGATTCAGCTACCAAGGGACATTGAGAACTTCTCAGTTTTATACATCTCCATAGGTAGATAACTGAAATCAAAATAATGTGATTAAGTAATGATCTCAAATGGAAGTTTAATTTTCTGGGTTTAGTCTTTTAGGAGTAAATGGAAGTTTTCAAGTGGTAAATTCCAAGCCTAATGTCTTGCCAGAAATATTACTTAGATCTAGGAGACATAAAATTGTAAAGAGAATGATTCATTAAACAGTAGATTTGTCCCCCATATTTCATCCATACAGAACTACTTTCAACAGCATTCGTAGTTGCTCTCAGTGTGACAAGTAACCTGGAACATTTCTGCATCAGCAAGCAGAAAATGAAAATGCAAAGTTTTCAGGTATATGACTAATCAGTAAAAGCTTAAATTCAGAGACAAATTAGATTTTGTTAGAATGTATTTGTGCAAATTTTACTAAAAGTAAAATTATTTTTTTCCCTGAAAATTAATATTGTCCTTTTAATACTACAGCTCAGATATTCAAATTGTGGTGCCTAAATTCAGCTATGTATATGATTACTTCAGCTCGTAAATATCACTATTTTGATCTTAGAATCATAGAATCACTTTGGTTGGAAAAGACCCTTAAGATCATCAAGTCCAACCGTTAACCTAACACTACCAAGTCCACCACTATACCATGTCCTTAAGCACCACGTCTACCTGTCTTTTAAATACCTCGAGGGATGGAGACTCAACCACTTCCCTGGGCAGCCTGTTCCAATGCCTGACTACCCTTTCGGTGAAGAAGTTTTTCCTAATATCTAACGTAAACTTCCCCTGGTGCAGCTTGAGGCTGTTTCCTCTCATCCTATCGCTTGTTACTAGGGAGAAGAGACTGACCCCCACCTTGCTACAACCTCCTTGCAGGTAGCTGTAGAGAGCAATAAGGTCTCCCCTCAGCCCCCTCTTCTCCAGACTACACAACCCCAATTCCCTCAGCCGGTCCTTGTAAGACTTGTTCTCTAGACCCTTCACCAACTTCGTTGCCCTTCTTTGGACATGCTCCAGCACCTCAATGTCCTTGCAGTGAGGGGACCAAAACTGAACACAATACTCGAGGTGCGGCTGTGAATTCTTCTGTATACACTGATTTCAGAAACCCATTTGTAAAGAACGAGATACTTCTGTCCAAGCACCCCAATAATGATTTATGTGTCCAACTTGGAATTTGTGAATGTGATCAATATGTATTATCCACTTTTGCTTCAGCCATTAGCTGATATTCTGAGCCTTGCCAGACTGTTTCTGTTAGGAAGAAACTAATGAGAGTTCCGCATCAAATAAGTTTCTGTTTATTTCCCAGGTCTGTGCTTGAAATTCAACTGTGTTCACAGAAACGGTAACAAAAAAAACCCCAAAAAACAACCAAAAAAACAGGCTGCAATATTCTTGACCAGAAACTCTATCTTGTCTTTTCAGTAAGATACTCAGAAGATTTTCTCATTGTTTTTTTCCCAGAACTAAACACAACGAATCCCTCTTTCTTTTTTTCCCTGGCATTCTGGTAACTTTAACAAATACGTATCACAGGTTAATTTCCCAGATTCTGATTTTGATATCAGTCTCAAGGGAAACTCTTCAGATGATTCTACACTGACCTTTTCTCACCAGACTATTGCATACCTTGGGTGGTGGTCCTCTGGACAGCGCTTTCTACCATTTCTGCTACATAAGGTATGGAGAGCACTCAAATTGTCTGCCTCTCTTTACCAGATTTGCTATTCATTGTCACGAATTTCCAACACAAAAATATGCTACTTCAACAATAAAGTATAACAAAATCCTCCCTTACTTCTCTCCGTGAGTATGGAGATCCCAGAAAGCAAAATGAATGGTACTTTGCTACACAGAAACCAGAATTCAAAGTTCAAGGTTGGAAGAAGCATGGTGGAACATGAAACAGTGGTTGCAGCTTCCACCTAGGGGCTGGGGAGAGGAGAGAATTGGGAAGTGTTTCCATAAAGGCAATCAGCCATTTGTTACTGCCTCTCACACACCTGAGTCACAAAAGCTAGAATATTCTCTGTACCCTCAAAACAACCAGGCTACAAAAATGATGCTCTGCATTCCACTCTTAAGCAGCAGACCTGTAATTTAGGGAGTATATTTGGATGCAACATCATCACTTCAGGTGCTAATGGTCTTGGTTTGCTATCATTGTTTCTCACAGCAGTGTATTGTACACATTTTTCTTCCTCAGGTTCATTATGCATACAAATGTCTCTTCATACAGAGAAAAATAGTACATATCAGAAAATATATAATACAAATATTTGCTGAAGATTAAAATTTTATACCACAGTTATATCACTAGTATGTCTAACCTTTAACAAGCGATGGTTAGCCTCCTTCAGTGTACTCTCAAGCTTATGTTTTTTGTCTGGGTTCAGTGATGCACTTCCAAGTGCTATTCCTCCGGTTTCATTTAATCGTTTAAGTATTCCCTTGTGTGGCAGCAGCTCTTCAACTCTTAACTGGAACAGACAAATACAGCAGTTAAGATGAACTGTGGTAGAATTTTCAGCTCTCTTATCTTCACCCTTATCGATTTGTGTATCAGCTGCAGGAATAAACTCAATTCAAGACAAAATAACCATTGCTTTCTGAATGTAGAAGGCTAAAACCCCCAAAAGAGACTATATTAGTGGATCAAGCCTAAAGAGAGTCCTAAAAGCCAAAATACAGGGTTTCTCAGGATATTAATCACTGTTTCGTGATAAGTTCCACTTCTGGACACTCAATAATAGCTCATGTATATGAATTTTAATAATATTTTAATATAATAAGGAGCAAACACTTTGGAAAAGGGTTTTAACGTGTTCCATGCTGTGAACACAATCACCCAGATGTTATGGGGTAAAAAGCCCTCCAGTCTAACCTCATAATTAAGAATGTTCATGTATGTTCATAAAAAAAAAACAAACAAAACCACAAAAGTAAAGCCAAAGGATGCAAGGCATCATCTAAATGTACCACTTCACCATCGTGTATGCAGTTACTGCAAACTTATATCGTCAAAGTAACTTAATATATCAAGTAAGGATAATGTAACTAAAAGACAAAGTTCTTCAAGTTTTTTGTTGTTTTTTGTTTTTGTTTTTGTTTTTTTGTTAGCATAATCAGGTAGGCATGAAATGAGCCACAGTACAAGCCAATGTGTTATTCTTTGCTGCATTAGGATGTATTCTTTTGCGTAGCTCCAAAAGAACAAGGTGGACTGTAAAAATGAGATACAAATAAGAGATGCTAACACCTTTAATTTTGGATTATGTATCCCTTGGGAATGTTACAATTGGGAAATATTTGTGTATAAATGAGGAAGGGGAGCCTTCATGGTTCTAAGCAATCAATTTAGACTTTAAACCTGTAATCATGTCTGCAAATTATAAGATGCATCTAACACCCCTTGTAAATATTTCTTTGCATTTGTTCTGATATCCTTGACAATGGAGACAAAGCCTCAAAAATTCTCTGTCCAACTTGCTGACATCTTATGCTAAACAGCCAGAGGGACAAACTCAGCACATGGTTAAGTCTTCATTTCCTCAAATGCTATGCAGTACTATTTATCTTATTTTTGTTTATTGAAAAAGAAATTGAAGATAGATTTTTACTGAAGAATCTTTTAGATTTTTTCAGATTTTGTTGAAAGAAGGATAGAAGAAACTCTGACAATTTTCCTTCATATTCTTTAGTGCTTTATTCCATCACTTGCTGAATTTGTTCACCTTGGACTGGCGTAAAGGATAACCAGTCCTTATCCTCAAGAGAGGACAGGAAACCTGTCGGCAGGCATTCTCTATGTAGTATGCATTTTCCAATTACAGTTTAATTTATTATTGTGCAAGTTAAGTACAGTCATTCTATTGGGCACATTTTAGAAACTAAACGAGCAACTTCTATTGGATATATTTATTAGCAGTATCATAGTCTAAAAGCTCTAATATCTTCATGAAAATATTCTAGCCTTCAAAAACAAACGTTTAATATTCTGTTGGTTTTTTTGTTTAAACATTTTCTAAAAGTAGTCTAGATGTTTAGTCTAGAAAATGTTGCAGTGATACTTTAACCAGTTGACATTTATAATTATGCATGGAATTCTAGATACTCTTGTGAAATACTGAATACCATTTCATAATCGAGAAGTTATAAAAGATTAACAAGACACCTATAGAGAAACGTTTTACAGATAAAACAGTCAAGTTCTCAGTTAAGAAATGAGGATTAAAAAGATAATGATTAATTACCTAGTGACAGGATAGGTATTTTCCTTTCAGTATATTTTCCACTACTTTTCCCATTTTAGTATGATCAGTAATTATTTGTTTTGAAAGCCCACTGCTTTAATTTATCTAAAAGAGTTATATGGATGCCGTGTTTGACAGCAGAAGCCTTCTCTAAAAACAACATTGAGTTTTCTTCAATGTAGAATTGATAAATTAAGAAAACATTAAGAATAAAACTCACGATACCTTTACTTTGCTAAGGCAGTCTCTTAACTGGTCTTCATTCCCTGGTTCAAGGGGAATACCAATAACGATGTCTGCTTCCTCTAACCATAAAATCAACTTGTTCAAGTCCTCTTGAAATTCTGATAAAATATGCTTTTCTTCCTCTAGCCTGTAATAAAAACATGACATTAATGTTCCTGTACATTTATTTTTATGTTGAAGTGCTCATCCATACTAAAAGAAAGACTACGGAAAATTAACTCTTATCATTTATATTAATTGTTTTTAAAAGTGTGCCATAGATTTTTTCATATCAAAATTATCAGACCAGCACCCTTTTACCAAGGCATTAATGTATTTTAAAAGAAAAACTCAATTCATAATTTGCAACATCACTAATTCGCCTTCTGGCTTACATATGGCAGGGACCAAACAAGCACACCAAAACTAGAACTAGATTTTTGTGTGAACTAACAGCAAGGAAGCTCAGAGTCAGAAACTAAGAATTCTAGCACCAAATTTTACCAAACTGAATCTGTAAAAAGTGACACTTAAACCCATTTGAACATGTTATACAAACAGATATTTTGGTGACCATGCCACATACTTTGTGTAAAGCATTCCAGTCGAGATCCACAAAAAGTAGGCAAGGTTTATAGTCCATAAGAAGGAATAGGATAGGATTTATCTCACCTGACTTCAGATGTCTACTTTGTCTACATCTACAACCTAACTGCTGAATTTCTCACCCAGATTCTCTTCATTGAATGCCAGTTGGCATTTCTAGGGTGTGATACATGGATTCATCTTAGATGATTACAATAGGAAGAGATCAATTCTGTCATACAACTTTTTTCTTTTATTAATTAAAGGAAATCCAGATGACCAACATAAACATTGCAGGTGTCTAAAGTCAGATAAGACTACTTTCACCACGACTGTATAAATATATGGAGATCTGAACTTTTGTGCCTAAGCTTCCAAAGTTATCAAGAGACACAAGAGAAAAATTTCAAGGGCAGCAGGGAAGAGCATTAGAAGAATGTGAGCCCTTTGAGATTAACATTATGGGCAGATCTCTTCTGCAGGAGAAAACCCTCTGTTTTATATAAATCATCTGTAATTTATCCTCCAAACTTATTCACAAAACTGAGGTTACACTGAGTCTTACCTGTATGGAAAGATTAAATAATTATTAATAAAATTAAAGAATAATTATTAACCTATTAAATAATAGGGGTTTTTTTTTGGTGCTGTTATTTTATTAAGGTTACTTGAGAGCAAAGAAAGAGATGTAAAACCAGGGTTTTGTTTTTTTTTTTTAAATTATGATTGTTTTTTCCAAAATCCAACTTAGTTTGAGAGGTTGCAGGTTGAGAGGTTAGGTCATTTATTACACATAATAAGAGGCTGTAGTAGTGTTTTAAGAATACAACTCAATATTACAGTGGAGAATCAAGGTCAATATTATTAATATATTATTTCTGAATGCAAAAATGTATTAGAATGAAAATTATTTTAACTTTCTCTGCTCTCCCATACTTGCCATGATGGTCAGTGCCCATAGAACACTCTGAGAATTCAAATAGAATGACATTTATTTTAAACTAGGCCATCATTTATGTACAATTTTTTTTTTCTTTTTTAGGAGACTGTTTTCTGATGGCTGACTTAAAGCAAAGATGTCTCTTTAGAAAAGCTATGTGAATAAGCTTCAGGAAAAAGAGAATAAAAAGTGTCAGCTTCACACCATCTAACAAAAAAAATACTGAAAACAATTGTTGTGTGACACACTTGCCTGCACACATGCACAGTCTGAAAATAGCTTAGAAAGTATAGATTAAAAACTTTTATCGAAGGAGAAGAGAAATTTAGAAATTTCCAACAGTCATTATCTATCTTATAGAAGTTTGTACATCCAAATCCATGCAACATTTCACCCTATATTAAGAACCCTAACTTTAAGTCATTAAAATCTTATATGACTTTTTTTTTCCCCTCACTGTAATTTCCAGAGAATAACAGTATTCAAGTGACTTCAAGTGTTCCACATTTGAAACATTTATTTACAATGAAAGAAAGCTGCTTGCTTAATGTTTTAAGTAAAAGCATTTGGTTAGAGGGAAAACAAAGGAAGAAAAATTGTACGATTTGTAAAATGACTTTTAATTAACATCATCCTGGTTACAGTGTAAAATGGGAGAAGCCTGGTTTGGTCAGCAGTGAAAATTCTAATAGTGAGGAAGGGTATAAGCATATGAGCTGAATTAATTTCATTTCACAGCAATAGAATCATCTGACTTCATGGTATAAGCAAGAAATTTTTATAGATTAATATTTTGGAGGAGGGAAAGACTCTGCTGTTGGAATGCTGACTATTATTAAATAAAACCAGAAGCATGCTATTTAACTATTATTTTACACAACTTGCAAACTAGCAAAAGTTTTGCTAGTGCTTTACTTGCCTTCCAACTTATTGGTGTTTATTGCATTTCCTTAACATGGCATCCTTGCAAGATGAGAATTGCTATACTAGATGAATAAACACTCCATAAGCTCTACAGACCCCTCTCCGAAACAGTAGATTAAAAACCAGAGTAAAGTACCAAAGACAACACTCTTGACCAGACTTCACTATCGAGCTACTATAAGTAGCTCACACTTTCAGGTTGTTTTTTTTTTTTTACAGCACAGTTTAAAGATGTTCTCTGTTCATTTCTAAAATATGAAGCATTATTTCTCTGTTTATCTTCAAGTTTAATGGTTTGTATAGAATTTATTTAAGCAGGTAGTAGTGATAATAATGAATGGGATAATTAAAATTTTCCATCTACAATTAAGTGCTAGATATTTTATTTCCTGAGTCAATTCAATGGATTTAGATAACAAAAAAGCACTAAGTTCTTCTTGAAATATTGGTTGTGAATTATAAATATTCTTAATACTTTTTCAGGAAATGAATTTGCAGTGATTATTGCTGAAAAAATTATATATACGGAAAAGCAAGTACAGAATGTGTTATTAAGTATTATGAAGTCCAATAATAAATCATGCATTCAGTCATAAGAAAATATACAAAGTTGTGTAAAGGACATTAGTAAAAGCCAGTACAGGTTTAAATGGAGGATGCTTTTTTCCTAGCTCAGCTGATATATCCATAGAGTGCTATTATCTCAAGCATTTCAGATAGACTGTAGCTGGAATTTTAGGTAAGCAATAAATTTAAATCTACCGTCACGCAGGACAACTTTTTGTCAGTTAGTGTTCAAGAACCAGATAATGAGGAGTTGCATGCTCTAAGGCTACAACAACATGGGTATTATAGGGTTTAGTCTCTTTTGAGAAACCAAAAGACACTATGGAGACAAGGAGGAGGACACTCTTAAGTGCTTATTGGGAAGCGTGTATTGATAGAAAAAGAAAAAAAAAAAAAAAAAAAAAAAGAGAACCCTATTGTACCAGCCAAGAGTCAGGAGCAAAGATAGGCATAGCTGTGGAAAATAACCTTAATTCACAAGTCAAGAAAAGGAGCTTGGAGATGACATTTTTCTCCTGTTCCCACCATGCTTTAAATCTTGACTGGAAAGCCAGCTGCCCACAAGGGGACACATTAACACTGTCATTAACTATCTTTTGCACACTTGTGGGGGGGATTCTCATTCATGTACATGGCACTTCACAAAAAACTAACTCAGCAATCTATACTTCACAGTTCTACTGCAAGTGGAACTGAATTAAACAGTACTCCACAGTCCAAAGAAATCCAGAAGTGAAATTTTCACAACCAAACACGTGACTGAGCACAGATTTACAAGGCTCAGGAGAAGTCCTTATGCAGAATTAGATCACAGAGAAGCATAAAGAGACTAAATAAAACTGGCCTGGTGGCAAGTCCAAGAGGTTTAAAAAGATTTCAGAAAGTAATAATTGAGAAATGTCAAACCATTTGTTACTTTCAACTACCACCACACACCTAAGAGTTTGAAGGATGCATGCAGGACAGAAGTTAAGATATTTCACAATAGAATACATTGTCCCTCAGGAGCTGCAACCACAGTGTGACAGAAGTTAATGCAACATGGACTCCAGCCACCACCTCGTGGGATCAGTACCTGTGTGGTCAGCAGCTCTTCCCAGCTGAAGAAAGACATAGAGATGAAGTGCTTTTCCACCTTTCTTCAGGCTGTATCTCTCCCTGATTTAAGCTATTTAGACAAAACCTTTTTTTTTTTTCCCCCTGTATAAATTAAATAGGTTTAGGTTTTTGCAACAGACAAACAGTAAAGATCTACAGGTTGGACTCAATGATCTCAGAGGTCCTTTCCAACCTTAACGATTCTATGATTGTATGATTTACGTTTCTTTATATTGCCAGAGAAAAGACTTGCACTGACGTGTGTGGACTTTGGAAACTAACATACACTGTGTCCTATTTTCCTGCGGCAAAAAATTCTTGCCCATGTTTCTAGGTGGTTTCAGAAACCAGCACTGCAACTTTTAAACATACTGTTGTCTTCAAGAACAGCTCCTTTTTATGATTTCCCATGTTGTAACTGCAGACCAGAAATTACCTGTTTCAAAATTAAATCTGTGAGGTTATTATAAAAAAAAAAAAAAAGGCAATAATAAAATGTTGATTGATAAGATCATTTATTTAATTGTATTGATTTATTGGGGGTTATTAAAAAAAAAAAAAAAAAGGCTATAATAAAATGTTGATTGATAAGATCATTTATTTAATTGTATTGATTTATTTAATTATTTTTTTAAGAAATTGAAATTTATTAGAAAGAATAATTATTTGATCAACTAGGTAGCTGAATTTAACCCACTTTAGTGTTTGGCCACAGCCTTTTGGCCAACGGCAGCTGATTTTTCACAAAGGTAGTATTGATTTGCTTTGAGGAGAGAAGACAAAAGCCTGCTTATCAGTTAGGTAATCAGCTAGATTTACCGCCTGGTGAATTGAGTTAAAATGCCAAGCAGTTAAAGAAGAAGATAATGAGGGTAAGATTTCATGATCCATAATATGAAAATCACACCTAATCTTAGACTTAAAATTCAGGGTGATCGATAGGAAAGGTAATATTTGTGATTCTTTTAGAAAAAGGAACTCAATGCTATTAAATAGCATAAACTGTTTAGTCAAGATATCTACTGCAAAATTAG